TAGGCCTGTCCATAGTAAAAAATTAAAATTAAATCATTCGGGCCAACAACACGGCGTGACCTAAACCATCCATTCAAATATAAGCACATTTGGCAGGCTTTAGTAGCTTGGCTGTCTGTTGTGGTGTTGGTATTGGACTTGCCATTAATATTCATGTTATTATAAAATCCAAAGACCACATACCTCCAGTAGCACAGAAATGAAGTGTAAGCCGACAAGCCAGAAGGGTTCCGCAGCGGAACACCCATGACCACCAACAGCCCCAGCACCCCGAGAGAGCAAGAGACACCAATAACCCTAGAAAATAAAACTGTAAGTAACCCCGAAAGCCCACAGGATATAAATATCGAGGCAGAAAAGCCCCCTTAATGCATCATAATAAAATTCAAAAAATATAAAACCTAACACAGCTTTTAGATACCACAACTATTGAGAAAATAATTCACAACACTCCAATGCAATACTACCTATACCAACTTATTGAGTTATTGAACCAAGTAAGGAGTCTCCGAGAAAGTATGAGCATATTCATCTCCTCGGCACTTGCGCGAAAAAAGGAAGCCGAGATGAAGCCAATAACAAGTGCAGCTGACCACAGCAGAAAGTGACAGCCAATGGCCAGAGTTTTTCAGCAGAGAAATTGTGTGGCCCTCTAGCGACGCATCCCAACCACTGAACCTGTGGCCACAATTATAATATAAATGAGCATTGTGTTTTTGTTACAACACTGGAATGTACATTACATAGCAGAAAAAACAAAAGCAAGCACCCAGAAGTGCTGTAAAGTATTAACCAAAATGGTGAGCATGCACATGCACTTCTTTAGGCTTCTACTTCCATGTCTTACAGGAGTCATAATTCAGTCTTAAAAACCTCTCCACCCATCTCCCTTCCAAAAGTAGAATCAAACGCTACAGATAATACTATCCTACCCTAGATCCTCCATTTACCCACCAGCCTTGTCATCTTCAAACACCATAACCATCCTCTACACCTAACCTTTTCATAAGTAACAAACAGCTAGTTTCCATTCTCAAAACACACCTCGAGAAGTCACAAGGTTATCCACACAAATACAGATGGTATTCATGTAAATGCAAACAAAAATGTAAGCTATAGGAAACACAAAAATATCAATATTAAGAATGTTAAAATTTGAAAAGTTATATAAAAGCTGACACCAAAATACATTGCATAGTTTAAAGAGACTTCTAAAACATAATAGATCACAAAAATGCAACTCACAAAGGTTACAAAGTTTAAGAATGAGACAACCCCTGAATAGGGATAGAGAGAGACGCACTAAACATGAAGCTCCAGCGTTTACAGAAATTTATTAATTATAAAGGTGGAACAATGAAAAATAGCTTGATCTGAAACCAACAAAAATGTAAAACTCCAGAATGGTACTGTATATGCAGGGCCCTCCTGTATATTCATGGAGGAGGAGTCCAACTAAACCCTTAGCAAGTCATATAGCATCTGGCAGAATGGGAAGCAATCAGATTTGATAAATGACCTTAGTTGTGGCGAGTTTAACCTTCAAACTGCATCCAACATACTAGTACACAAGTGATGACTATTCAGCATACTAGTCTACACAATTTTTTGTACCTTCAAAGTTGCCACCTGCCAATATTCTTGACCTCATCAGAACTACCATATATAAAATCATATGCTACACTGGCAAATTTTAAGAAGCTTTAGACAGTTAGTGGATAAGGTAATGGTATAGCACCACTAGTAAAAAAACAGTCTGGAGAGATGAAAAACTGAGATTAGAAAAAAGTTACAAGGATAAGCTGTAATCAGAAAAAAAAGAGGTCACCTAACTACTTACAAAATCATTAAAAGATACAAATGAAAAAATAAGGAAATGGCTTAGCCACAACCAAGCATAAACCAAAACTACCAACCCAGCAGCTGAAAGAAACTAGAAAAATTTCAACCTCCAAATTAATGGAATAAGATACAAAACAAGTAATCACAAGCACCTATAACCAGTCCAGGAATGAAATGCAGTAATAAAGATTCCCTGTCAAACGTCTTTATTTCACCAATAACATAAAATTAAAATAAATTAAATACAAAAGATAGGACACTAACAAGCAAACTATAATTCATTGAATATCAGGCGTGTTTAACAATTGCTTAGTTAATTAACAGTCCAACACAGCAGGCCTTCATAAGAATTTTATAAATATTTTTGCCCAGAGAAACAGACCTTTATGAAAAATGGATTCTAAAAATTATCCCCTGTTCTATTGACAACTGTATCTGCTCATCTAGTTACAGAAACAACTTTCAGCTACAAACTTACCACATAAGTGTACAGCCTCAGATCCCATTCACAGATCCATCTTATACGTACGGGTATAAAACAATCACATTATCGTAACACATTAAAAAGAAATACTTAGTGAAATTAGAACCTGCACTACGAAAGCATAAAGAATGTTGTAAGTCCAGAACAGAAAATGGCCAGTTTAACAATTCAGAGGCATAATATGGTCAAGTCTCCAGTCTTACAATTTAATGAACCTGCTGTGTTTCCAGAGGATAACCTGTAGGCAGGAATTTTGAAATAAGCAACTAAGAGAATTATTGTTATAATTATAGGGAAGCGCTAAACCCGTAGGGATAATACAGCACCTGCAAAGGTAGGGGGGAGTTCCCCCCCCCCCTTGGGGAGGGAACTAAGAAAAAATTACTATCCCATAAATCTGTAACAAAATCATAGGAAATTATGTATGTAAAATAAAACAGTATAGTGCATACAGTACTTTAATGTAAAGAGTATATTAATTTGATTTTGTAAAATATTCTATTATCTATACTGGAAGATGAAGTGTAACAGCATTCTCAAGGACTTAATCAGTTCTAAGCAAGATAAAGTTCATATGGAAAGAATAAATTAAACTTTGTACAAACATATTTCAGCAGCATTATTTATATGGATTCTGAAAACATTTTAGTATTATTCAATTAAAATTGATGGCCATAACTCTCACAATAAATCATAAAATAATTACACTGTCATTCTCCTCGCATTTAAGTTGGTAAAGGAAACCTGTAATATAATTTTGAGAAAACCATTAATAAATCAGAGTAAAAAAAGGGTAAGCCTAGTCCATTCTGCCTGCCTTGCCTTTTTTTTTTATTGTGCTTTCTATTGGCCCATATAGAGAGAAAAGGTAAAGAGAAACAAACGCAAGAGGATCATAACCAAAGCAACCATTACCACGATAGTTACAGATTTAAGCTTCAAATCTTGGAGTTATAATATGCATCCCAATTGCTAAGCAGTGCATTCCCGTCCAGGTAACACCACTTCAGGTTCTGCAGGCTGCAAAGTTAAGCACTCTTATAAAAATAATTTTAAATAGTGAAGTAAACTCGTTTCACTGACATTTTTTAAGAGTATTAACAACCCAGAAGATCGAAACCCATTCTCTAGAGTATTTTAGATAGTTTTAGACCTCTTTCCATGATTCAATATAACTCTATCCATGGTGGAATGTGTTAAACCCACAGAAGCCATACGAACCAGAGAATTTTGGTAATTCAGGTATGATACAAGAGAAGATCCCATTCCTTGGATCAAGACCTACATCAGCATCTAAGCACCCTCCTTGAAGGGTGTTTGTTGCTATTAAGTCTCCCATCTTTGATGGAAGGAAAGAGAGTAAACACAGAATCACTCATCTTTCAAGTCACTGACAGTTAAAATTTTACAAAATTAATATAATAATTATTACTTTACAATTATTAAACAACATTTCCAAGCCATCATAATACTGTACACTAACATTTTGATAAATTAAAAAATTATATTAATACAAAATTATATACTATATAGCAAAATCCTTTTAATTTCATGGCACTGGGTCTGGTGGTTAATACAGCTACATCAAAACAAGAGAAATGTCAAGAATAAAGGTAAATTAGGGCCTACAGCTACTTTTAAAAATTGAAGAATATACGTGTGTTAGATTACAAGATACATTAACAGTTGCTTTGTGACAATGGAGTAAAGCTAATATGTATGTATATATAGGTAAAACTTTCTTTTTTAAAGATGAAAAGGCAGGCAGAAGGAGGGAGCAGATTAAAAAAAAAAAAAAAAAGAAAAGTAAAATCACACACAAAAAAAAATTGCTAAAAAATTACTGAAATCTATTTACTACTAAAGTTCAACATGTTTCATGGTAATTGTATATTAGACAACCAAAAGCTATGAAAAAATACATCAAGATTTTTCTTATAGTGATTTACGATCATTTATGTAATAAAAAAGATATTAATATTTATATTATGGTAATCCTTATTAAGTATCACTTAGTCATACAGTCGAGTCTTCCGTAAGGTTTCAATAATTTAAGCGTTTGTCTTTTACTATGTAAATTTGGAATGAGTAATACTACATTATAATTTAATAAAAGCCATGCTTTGAAAAATTTACTATTTTACAGCTAACTATAAGTGATGCTATTTGGTTAACTAAGGTGCACAATAATACTGATAATTTTTTAAATGCTGTGAGTGGGTAAGTTTAAGCTTATGTAATTCATCTGACTAAAAACAACTACTGTACATGTTAAAGGCTATAACTGAAGCCTTGTATTTATTTTTTGCTAAGGGAACATCAATGTAAGCTATTAGTCCCGATACATAATGTACCTTGATTAAAAGGGTTACTAGCCCGATACCATCATGTACCTTGGTTAAAAGGGGTTACAAAAGTTAACAAAAAATGCAACCATGCACATACATTACAGTAAAACATGTTATAATACTTGTAAGCAAGCAGAATTACATGAAAGATATTAACAAATATTGTCATCAAAGAGTGAGAAGCTTTAAGGGAAGTTAGTATTACGGACATATAAACTTATCTGTGAATTTTAAGAAAGAACAGTCAGAGGTCAAAATCTGATAGTGAGAAAAGGCCAGGCAGCAACCAAACAGCTTGGTCAGGGTGACAAAATCGCATATAAAGGTATGGGAGGAGGGAAAAATTAGATGTCACAAGACCCACAATGTTTAGTACTGATAAGTCAGTCCACTGTATTATGTGAAATAGGGTAGTTGGGGGACCTCTAAGCATATTATTGTTATATTCCTAATATGAGCTTCGAATTTTTTTTGCAGTCTTAGGACATTACGCTGAACATCGTCCCCACTATGAAGTCCTGTTCAAGCCCGTATTAGGAAGTGTTAAGTGATGTCATCCCATGACCTTCCTGTTAGATATTGTGGACTAGGCTTACCAGTGATGCCTCCTTCAGCATATGCGATGCCAACATCCTTGCTGGGTTCACGTCCCAGAGTACCAAGGAGAATTTCATTAGGCATGTCTCCATCTTCACCCCCACCATGTGGAACAATATTGTTGGGATTAGTGCTATCCTTTGGTGACAGTGGAGGAATTTTATTATTCTCCAATGATGGGTAATCCTCCTCCAAGAGTGGATCATATAAGGTTGAGTGATCCACTGACCCTGTAGGTACAAAGGGTCAGAAGGTCAGACCAAAAATCAATATTAAGTTTTTCAGCAGAAAGCAACAGAAAACTGCAAGCCTCTTATAGATTCCATCACCATCATGCAAGAAAATAGAAACCCTGCAGTAGAGAAAAAAATTAACATTCTTATGGTAATAACCATACACTATTAAAATTAACATATATTTTACTGTGATAAAATCAAAGGTACATTATTTTAATTCACATGACAGAAGTTACTTAAAAATATCTTTCACTCATTTTCTTCAACCTGAAAACCCCATGCTGTTGTCCATAAGAGGTTTCTGAAACAAGATATCTTTAGCTGATAGAACAAGAGAATGAATAGGACTGTAAGTAAACAAAATTCCTCAGGCATCTAAATGTCACAGAAGCATACACATGCAGGGTTAGTATGGTATGGTAGACCTATGATTACTTGCATTTTTCACCTGAAATTACAAGTCCAAGACATTAATGCTCAGCTCAACTAGTGAGTAGAACACCTGTGCCACACAATGGTGTACCATGTATTTAATTTTCCACAATATGCTGCTCAAGTCTAGATTTAATAATAAATTTATAAAAAAGTTTTGAAAATACACTACATGTTATTAATTCAATGAAGAAACATTTAAAAATAATAAAGTAATTATAATGAAAATAACACTCAGTTAAGTTTACTACATAAGGCTGAAATTGGGATATTGAGATATGGCACTATGTATGTCACTGTGCTGCATAACTGACCCTCTGTGGGAAAAACTTCAGTAACAGGGGATTTGGACGCGAGGATGGAGGCTCAGACAGACACATGGAGCACTACGTCCACCACTTTCCACTTTCCGGAGGGCTTGGAGCCTCTGTGAGCGAAGCACAACCCAAGTGGACAATTAGATCCCCCAATGACAAGGGAAAAATTCCTTTATGTTATGGTGAATAGCATTTTTGAGATAACCTAATACTATCTCCTACTGGACTTTATTCAATCAGGCCTGAGCCATGATTATTTACACTACCAAACGATACCACTGTTCAATCTAATTCCTTTCTTTTGATTAAGTGCAACCACTGCTAATGAAAATTGTAATAAGAAATTAAATTATTATAAGCAATAAGAAAAATCAGTGTACTATTTAGTATTGTATTTAAGCAATAAAAATTATCATTATGTAATTCTCACATTGTCACAGCAAACAAGAATCACGTTTTAAAAGTTAACTGCACAACATTGAAATATCATTAGGATCATTTAAATATTTATGTAAAATTAATATAGTAATTATACAGATAAATGTGATGAGATCTCATAAAAAAAATTCCATCACGCCTAAATATAAGTTTAAAAAAAAAAAAGTTGTTGTAAACCTACACATACAATCAAAAGAAAAATATAAAACAAAAAGTGAAAAAGTAATAAAAATATCATGTAATAAATGTTCAGTTCAAAATTAATGATGAAATTAAAGCACAGATGTGTGGTGCATGGTGACAATAATCATATAGGTTAACTAAGCAAGAGGTACAGTGATATACTATGTTCAAAGACTGGTGCAAAAATGGAAAAAATAACTGTGCTGTAATGTGAAAGGTGCATTTAGCAAAGAGAGCAAATAATAAATAATAAAATCAATAACACACACACACACTCCACCCACTACACACACACCCACAACACACACACACACACACACACACGGGGTGCACACCATCTCTCAAGGCCTTTTGCACACTCCTCAGTACACATGACCTTGAGCTGCTACATTCCCCCAATGGTTTTTCTAAACATACAGTATATACTTTTGTAGCAATAATACTAACCAACACTGCAAGTTTATTAAAACTAAGTACAATTAGCATTAAAATCTTAAATACAGATGACAAAGTTGTGTGAAAATTCATAGTGCCCTCTAACACCATATTGGAGATAAGCCTAACACTAAATGATAAACTACATATGACACTAAAGGAACTATAAATGAAAAGTAGCCATGGAAAGTAATACATTATTATTACTGGAGAGTTCAGTTCTAAGGTAAGCTTGGGTAACCCATGAAGCTGGAACAGTAAAATGATCTAATGACTTGCACCATGCAATACATGGTTAATTTTACATCAGCTTATGAAAGCAGCAACTATTTTGTATTTAATAACAATCAAGGCGAAGATGCTAAACCCACAGGGCTCATACAGTGCCAGGTACACTGGAGGCAAACTGACTTAATCCAAGACAGGGAGGGCTGCCAAGAAATTAAAATATTTTAATAAATACAGTATATACCACCAAACTCACTTGTGAAAGAACATCCATCTTCTATGTCTTAGAAGAGGTCAAAATACTCATAAAATCAACTAGATTGAAGCAAAATAATGAACCTAAAACAGTATAACATAAAAGAAATAGAATAAAATATCAGTACAGATGGATATAACATACATAAGGTCCCCTTGCAAATTATTAAAATAACAATTAATACCGAGTTAACTCAAGATGCCGGAGAGCCATCAAAGAAGAAAACTTCAAACAAATACAGGAAACACATCACTCAGACTTGCCAGTGTCTCTAATAAGATAGAAATGAGGGCAAATATAAAAAGAGAAATTTAAAAAGTTTAAAAACAAGAGCAAGTCTGAACACACATTAAGCTGATGTTTAACAAGTGATAAAAAACGTACTTTGAACTATAGACTTGTCTTGTTGGTAAAGACTGTGCAATCATTCCAGTATGAGAGCCATAACAGAGTTGTAACACTAACAACCACCACCACCTAACTGGTAAACAGTTTGGCTTTCCTATAAAATTTATTTAGTTAATAGAAATCAATATTTTAGAGAAGGATTAACAGTTTATATAAACTAATCTGGAAACTAAACAATGCGAGTTTAAAAGAAAACTACCACAGAGATTTTGTTTAATAAAAGTTGGGAGCAGTAATAAAGGTACTACAAGAACTGGTACATGCTCCATTAATGCTTCTAGTTTATGTAAATGATTTGTTAGAATATTTTTTTAATATCCTGCAGATTATCCAAAGATTCTATGCCAGATAAACTAAAAAATCATTAAATGATAGATGGATGACGAAATTTAATGTAGGCAATTACAATGTATGCAGTAACTGGAATGGACTAAATCCATAATAGCATGCACAAGTACAGATTGTGATACAGAACACTACACAATGCCTCAGATAAGAAGAATATATGATTCATCATCAACAATAACTACCACTAAAAACATATCCTAAGATTTTCACCAAATATGCTAACTTGGTAAAACTTAAGACAGCCTTAACCCATTCAGTGTTGGTCCCATTTGATCAAGGCCTTGAAGCTCAGAGTTTGGTCCCACAGTAATGATCCATGAGCTCATCTTCACTCAAAAACCTGTGAGCATAATTTTGGCCTAGATATGAGAGAAAGGGTCTAAGTTGGTAAGTGTTCACCATATAAAAAATCCTGCAGCATGTAGTGCACATGGAAAAATAACTGCAACTGTTTTTTGGTTTAAAACACATTTTGTATGGTTTTTTACAGTTTGCCATTCTTGGTTTCATTTGGAGTAGAATGGAAGATATATTACAGAAATAGATGATTTTAATTAGTGTCAGACTAAAAGTAAGCTTGAATAGAGCTCAAAGTAACTGGACGTTTGATTTTTGCTGAATAATCCGAGTACTCAAATGTACACCTGTTCCAATAAACATTCAACTGCTAGTCTAATACACATATATAGGAATTCACATACTTAATTTATAACAAATAAAATAAAGCAGTGGTCTGCATAAAGTAAATTTTATATTTTTTGCGTGAATAAAAATTAAAAAATGAAAAGCAAGTGTAAAATAAGAGGGGCCGAGATACATCACAAAGGAGCAGAGAAAATGTTAATTCAGTGCCAGCAATGTCTACACTGTTTATTCTGAACCCTATTTTCAATTCAGCAAGTGCTGAATTTTGTGTAAAATTGGCCAAATTATTGATTTCTGATCACTAATGGGTAGCTGAAACAGGTAAACGGGCGCTTTGTACTCATTCGACAGAACAGAAGGCATACAATTGAAATAGCTACAAAGTATGGGTCGACTTGAACTTGGAATTGGACAAAAAGAGAGCGTAAAACTGGCAAAATTGCAGATTTATAACTATCGCTGAGACCGCTAACTTTGTGAGAGCATAATTCCGTAAGTTTTTCATCAAATTTCATACTTTTGGTTTCATTACCTTTGGAAAAAGATTCTCTAATCATTTTATATTTTTAAATTAATTCGTCAACCATGGGAGAAAGTTTGCGAGCAGGGGTTGTGACACTGAAAGGGTTAAATATGTATATGGGGATATGTTTGACAAAAGCAGTTAGTATAATAAATTTTGGAAACGACAACAGTCCATATTCCCATCAAGGCAGGGTAGGCCAAAATTGGAACCTCACATAGTAGTATCACTTTCTTCACCTCACACTCACAAGAACCTTAAAAACAAAAAAATTAAAAGAAGAGCAACAAAATTAGTTCCCAGAGCAAAAGTCACCAGAAATACTGAAAACAATGAAATGTCCAAGTTGGAGGAAAGAACAACAGAAATTATACAATACCTACATCACAAAGGTCCATCAAGAGTAAAAAATTTAGCAAGAGACCATAATGTAAAATAAAAAAAAGCTTGCAGAAGGTATACAGTACTAGAAAAAATTGTCAGTAGTAGGAAAAATGAAACTGGAAAATGGGAAAAAAAAAAAGGGGGGTGGGGTGGGGGGGGTGGGGTGTAGTAAGTGCCCACAGCCACGAGAAAATTTTAAATGAAAGATAGAATACACGCTGAATATGAGACACCACGAGCATAACATCTGCACCTGTAGCTACAAAGTAGGTTAATCACATGACATCTTTTGCAAACACAAATTTGTTGCTACAAAGAAGTACGCACTATAGACAAAATATTCAAGAAAAAAAAAATGCTCCCTGAATATTTCAGAAATTAGGAATAACTTACCAGTTTGTCAGAAACAGGGAATATGATTTTAAACTTCATTCTACGCGCCTGTAATAAAAGCGTGGCCCATTCAAAGCACAAAGGCACAAGACAATAACGGCAGGGAAACATTCTCCCTTGCTAAATATCAAACTGTCTTAAAAGTACGGACATTAAACAACTGCTTCCGACTATAAAAAGTTTTACCCCTAAAAACTGTGTGGTGTTGCAAGAACTGATTTCTCAACAATGGGAGATTAACTGTACTCACATTTCAAAAAGGCGTGTAAGAGACCGAATGGGATAGCAAGACCGCCATGATTATATTTACAATTTTTAAATGTTAAAAATTTTTTCTCTATTGTATTAGTAATCAGTTCAGTCCAAAAGATGTGAAACACTAGAGATTGAAAGTACATACACATCATTATGTTAGTATCACAAGAGCTCATGGCATCTCCACAATGCAGTTTTAAAAAGCCCCCCTTAACTAAGGCTTCCTGCCTTAATGCACTGCCCCCAACAGCACTTTGCCCACTGCCCTGCCTTCATGGCGGCGTCTGTTCTGGACCACATCGCTGTACCTGCCTTCCTGGATACGCTGGAGGCCGCTGCCAGATGCGTGAGTCACTATTTGCTATCAGACTGCTATTACTTCTTTTAACATTGAAGTTTTTAAATTATTTACCTTTTTCTTTTCCTCTCATTCCTCTTTCCATATTATTCTGCCTAAATTATATTCAATGCAATAGCAGAAAACTGCAGTTGTTGAAAAATGAATAAAACCCAGGAATTTCAGCTGTTTAATTCTAATCTATCGTTCCTCTACAGAACTTTTTAATTTCTCTTCACACTACCAAGGAGGTTTTTGTCTAACCTAATCGTACTGCTTTTGCTGGTGTTTAATATCAACTTGCTGCACCAGTTTGTTATCTGTTCAAGCCACCAGGAATTGATTTAACTGCTACTGTACTTTGTTGTCCGTGTTTTGTCATAACTTTAACCCATTATATGTATACATATACTGAATTACTACAACCTTGTATAGTGAAATATATTAATATTTCTGTCCCTTTTAATGTACTGAATTTCATTATTGTATGATTTACCAACATAAAATATACAGGAAGGCCCAGCTTTACAGCACTTCACTTTATAGCAGTTTTCACTTATACTCTTTATTCAGACTTTTTACAATATATTCACCACTCAACAAATATTTTAAGGTAAGTAATGTGTGTACTGTATATGCATTTTTTTTAGGCCTAAGTCTATTGCTCACTTAATATATTATAGTGTAAACATATTATCAGGGTTTTATATGCATTTGAAAAAAAAAAAAAAAAGGGGGGATATGTTTCACTCTAGGCTACTGCTGTAGAGCAATTTTTATGTTACAGCAGCAGCCTAGAACCTAACCTGCTGTATAAGCAAGGCCTGCCTGTAGAGTATTACAGTACATTATAACCCTTCTTTAAATTGTGCACAAAAATGTTAGTTTTTCTATCTTCAAGCCAAAAACTGGACATTTTCAGTGCTGAAATAGCTATATATGAAGTCTATAAAAGAATGTCTAAACCAAGCCTAGTATGATGCACGAGTTACTCCCAACAGCTGTGTGTGAGAATGGGTGTGGAGAGCGAGGCCGCTGTATTGGCCCCAATGTATGTCACTGCAGCAGGGGCTACACGGGTCCTTCTTGTGATGAGTGAGTATGATACTTCACTTCTGCCAACACATCACTAATATAACCCTACTAAATCTGAACTAATCCTACCGAGTCTTGACTAATTAATCCAAATCTATGTATTTGAGCTTAATAGGGCAGTCAAAAGCTGCCAATTACAATTATTCAGGTTAATTAGTAATCCCATTTACAGTTACTTTAAGGTAAACCTTGTTAGAATACATTACAACCACAGCTTGATAAATCCTATCTTTTAAGAACTGTTTCTACAATAGCTAACAAATTATCATGGTTTATCATGTTTAATTAAAGCCCTGACCTACAGCAATGACTATGACTACAGCTACTATGGCAGCCAAGATGATAGCCATGATCGAACCAGCGTTGATGACTGGGACCTGGTGTCCCTCCAAAGACGCTATCACTGGCGGTCATAACTCCTATCTTCATGCTCCCTCGTAAAATAAGTGTTGTGTACATTGATCGCACATGTACTATAAAGGTTGCCCTATAATGTTTGTTCTTGTAATTATCAGTAGTGTATGTTGTGAAATAAGGATTCTATAACTACTCAGCTATTTCCACTCATATTTCAATGTTATGACACTTATAAAGATCTCTCAAATCCTTACCAGCTGTTAAAAATTTATGAACACAGAATTATGAAACCTTACCTACAGCAACATATTTAATTTTGAAGTAAAAGAGATAGTGTATTTTGTTACTAAAGTATGAGAGAGATTTCTTGCATTGTGATAACTGCCAGTTTCTATCTCCCACTTTGCTGTACACTGCTCGAGTGGATTTATACTGGGTTATGAATGATGCAGTTATAATAAAATCTAAACACACTATACTTAAATATATTCTCATGTGGAATACTTTAAAAACTACTATATTTTCCTATATGAAATGTCTGTATATCCTTCATTAAGTACATAGACTGTCATATGATATGCAGTTAAAAAATATCTTCCAGTGTTCAGCAGAATATATTATTTAATAAAAAACTGAAAACATGTTTATTTCATTCTCACATTAGACACTAAATATTTTATATTGTCTGTGTGTGTTCTCTATGTGCCTGCTAAATCAAAGCTAAAATCAAAGGGGTAAACACTTTCTATCATTATAATCAAGGGGAAAGCACTAAACCTATAGGATTATACAGTGCCTGTGGGGAAGGATGGAAGGTATTCAGGCTTAATTCTGGGAACTGGAGCACAGAGCCAATTCCCTAGATCAAGAGCCTCTCACCAGTGTGAAGGAACTTTTCTTGAGGAGTTTCTTTTATCAAAAAGTTATGAAAAAGAAAATGGATGCAAATGTGAAAGGGAAAGAATGTAAAAATTTAAAATAAGTGTGGGGAGGTACGTGGGACATTACGTAGAATGAAAGGGGGTAAAGCAGCTGCAACTGATGGGATCATGACAGAAATGTTAAAAGCAGGGGGGGATATAGTGTTGGAGTGGTTGGTACTTTTGTTTAATAAATGTATGAAAGAGGGGAAGGTACCTAGGGATTGGCAGAGAGCATGTATAGTCCCTTTATATAAAGGGAAAGGGGACAAAGACTGTAAAAATTATAGAGGAATAAGTTTACCGAGTATACCAGGAAAAGTGTACGGTAGGGTTATAATTGAAAGAATTAGAGGCAAGACAGAATGTAGGATTGCGGATGAGCAAGGAGGTTTCAGAGTGGGTAGGGGATGTGTAGATCAAGTGTTTACATTGAAGCATATATGTGAACAGTATTTAGATGAAGGTAGGGAAGTTTTTATTGCATTTATGGATTTAGAAAAGGCATATGATAGAGTGGATAAAGGAGCAATGTGGCAGATGTTGCAAGTATATGGAATAGGTGGTAAGTTATTAAATGCTGTAAAGAGTTTTTATGAGGATAGTGAGGCTCAGGTTAGGGTGTGTAGAAGAGAGGGAGACTACTTCTGGGAAAAGTAGGTCTTAGACAGGGATGTGTAATGTCACCATGGTTGTTTAATATATTTATAGATGGGGTTGTAAAGGAAGTAAATGCTAGGGTGTTCGGGAGAGGGGGGGGATTAAATTTTGGGGAATCAAATTCCCAAATGGGAATTGACACAGTTACTTTTTGTGATGATACTGTGCTATGGGGGATTCTAAAGAAAAATTGCAAAGGTTAGTGGAAAGAGTTTGGGAATGTGTGTAAAGGCAGAAAGTTGAAAGTGAACATAGAAGTGTAAGGTAATGAGGGTATCAAATGATTTAGATAAAGAAAAATTTGGGTATCAAATTGGGGAGGAGGAGTATGGAAGAAGTGAATGTTTCAGATACTTGGGAGTTGACGTGTCTGCGGATGGATTTATTTAAGGATGAGGTTAATCATAGAATTGATGAGGGAAAAAAAGGCGAGTGGTGCGTTGAGGTATATGTGGAGTCAAAAAATGTTATCTATGGAGGCAAAGAAAGGAATGTATGAAAGTATAGTAGTACCAACACTCTTATATGGGTGTGAAGCTTGGGTGGTAAATGCAGCAGCGAGGAGACGGTTGGAGGCAGTAGAGATGTCCTGTCTAAGGGCAATGTGTGGTGTAAATATTATGCAGAATTAGGAAAAGGTGTGGAGTTAATAAAAGTATTAGTCAGAGGGCAGAAGAGGGGTTGTTGAGGTGGTTTGGTCATTTAGAGATAATGGATCAAAGTAGAATGACATGGAAAGCATACAAATCTATAGGGGAAGGAAGGAGGGGTAGGGGTCGTCCTCGAAAGGGTTGGAGAGAGAGGGGGTAAAGGAGGTTTTGTGGGCAAGGGGCTTGGACTTCCAGCAAGCGTGCGTGAGCGTGTTAGATAGGAGTGAATGGAGACGAATGGTACTTGGGACCTGACGATCTGTTGGAGTGTGAGCAGGGTAATACTTAGTGAAAGGATTCAGGGAAACCGGTTATTTTCATATAGTCGGACTCGAGTCCTGGAAATGGGAAGTAGTACAATGCCTGCACTTTAAAGGAGGGGTTGGGATATTGGCAGTTTGGAGGGATATGTTGTGTATCTTTATACATGTATGCTTCTAAACTGTTGTATTCTGAGCACCTCTGCAAAAACAGTGATAATGTGCGAGTGTGGTGAAAGTGTTGAAATGATGATGAAAGTATTTTCTTTTTGGGGATTTTCTTTCTTTTTTGGGTCACCCTGCCTCGGTGGGAGACGGCCGACTTGTTGGAGGAAGAAAAAAAAATTAAATTAAATTTCATGCTGTGAATCTGCATTTTTTTGTATTCTAAACACTTCAATGCTTCTTTAATGAATATGGCATGTGTTTACAACAGCAATTTAATGAAGACTATCAACCAATATGCTAGCTGATATCAACTATTGTAATTGAAGTGTAATTTAGAGAAGATTTTACAATTCTGAAAGAAAAAAAAAAGTGGAAATCATTTGACTGAAGCATTTAAGATGGGTTTAAATACCAAAAGTGAAGAGTCAGGAAGAGATTCCCAAGTAGCCCTGTACTGTATACACATGTGCGGCAAAGTAGGGATACAAGCAAGAGTGAAAAGGTTTGATGTAACTGTTCTAGAATCTGATACACCACTACTTAAATTACTTGCAGAGGCTTTACAAACAAAACATGGAGAGAGAAAAAAAAAAGACATACCAGACATTTTCAAACTATAATATTTTGGAACACCTATTAGCTTAGTATTATTTATTTTTCACACATTCACTGGCTGCAATTCCCAGGTACACTACTGTACTGTTACAGGAAAGGCTAAAGCAAAACAATGAAGTTATGCTAATTACTCACATTCAGTAAAGTATTTCAAGAATTAGAGATGGATGAGCACATTTTGGGTCAAATTCATCTGTGCATTCTACACCAAACCTAAATGCAAAAAATCTGTGTTCTACATAATTTGCAATCCTGCTGTACTTACAATTAATGGAAGAATCCAAAGATGCCACTAATGAGACCTTGTTTTGTTGAGCATGTCAGGTAAGCCAACTATCAAGCAAAGATACAAAAGGTTGGGCCATTTCCATCTGAATTTCTGAAGCATTGGGATGGTTGTGTGGTCTGAAGGTCAGCCTGTCCATTCAAGTGATCCCATCTTGTATATCTTGTTCACATCTTTAAAAAAAAATTAATGCAGATGACTTCCCTAAAAAAGTATTGGTAATGAATACAGTAGTGCCAATGATAAATCTGACTCAATTTGTGCCAAATTTCACAATGCTGACAGGTGTTTTGCCTGTGGAACACACTTCTGCAGTCAAAAGACAGATGCACAAGTAAATTTATAAAAGCATCAGGCCAGAGATCACCCAGTGTATAGATTAGCACCAGCTGGGCAGCCTTCCAAGACATCAGGTGTGCAATCATGTTCCTATGTATCACAGACATCATTCATTTTGCAAGTCCTGGATGTATACTACTCTTGCAACTTGATCTATGAACTACAGGTCTACAATTTCATTGAACACTGATAGAAAAAGTCTAGATAACATATTGTAGTCACGGGAAGTGTTCATTAAGGACCAATTAGCAGCTAGGGAATTGGAAAGAAACAGATGATTTGAGGAAGGGGAGAATAGCTCTAATTCCTTGGATCAAGAGACCTTCAGCATTAACCCCCCCCCCCCCATAGGGAGGATAAGAGAATTCCATGTTTATTTTATTAAAAATGTTGCATAGATTTATTTGATGGGAATATGTACATTAGAGTAAAAACTGCTAATTATATGGGACCAGATTACTATACAAAATGAACTAAAATTATAATATATATATATACAAATCTAGCCTAAGACTGAAGATTTGACAATGAGCACTGATTAGGTGGACCTGGTCTAAATGTGTAAAGGCCCAAACATACATATGTGGGATAGGCAGGAAACAAAATAAAAAATTGGAAGATCAAACCTAAGAGCTAAAATACATTAACAAATGTGCCAAAAGATACATGACTGTCAATAGTAATATAGTTTTAGGTAACAAAATGAAGTGAGCACAGGTAATTACACTCTCCCCAAGTTATGAACACTGTTAGTACTGTACTTATGAATGAGATCTATAAAAAAATTCTGTATTTTCCAGCATGTAAGGTGCACCCTAATTTTGGCAGGCATATTCTGGGGAAAAAAAAATGCAATACTTGCTTCAAAATAACGAGCCAGTGGGTGGCTACTTATGCGCACAATGGAGTTGACAGAGGTGGTGCAGTCTGTCATCTGCTTCATCACTGCCAACTGCCAAAACAAATATGGCTACCAGTTATTTATAAATGACTACTTTACAATTATTTGCAACTGCTGAAGCTGGTTTGCTTATTACATACTGGTAATACGCAAATTATAATAGTTACAAAACACTAAAAAGTAATCTGGGAAACAAGTTTTGCAGGAACAGGATGATATTTGGAGTTTTGGTTACACCAGTACCGCAGCACCGAAACCACCACTAACCAGTAACCCTAAGTATACCATCGTTCCTGACCATGACCAGGGATTATTATTATTATAATCAAAAAGAAGCGCTAAGCCACAAGGACTACCATGACCAGGGAAAAAAAGAAAAAAAAAAAAGAATACTTTATATGCCAGAAAATACAGCTATGGTTTAGCAGAATCAGGTTCTTTTTTTTTTGTTTTGTTTTTATTTCCTCATCCATATTTATTTTATGAATGTTTTCATATTTTAGTAGATACTGATCAGAAATTTTATATATAAAAACTTTCACTAAGATAAATTTAAGTCTTTTAGTTCAACCCCCTATCCTATTGTTTTAAGAAGCGCATTGATACCTTGCACAAAAACTCGCTCATTCTCACTCTGTGTAGTGTGTGTGGAGATAACACACTTGCCTATATGTACTCGCCCGTGTGTGGTTGCAGGGGTTAAGTCACAGCTCCTGGCACCCACCACTTTGCTGGTTCGCTCATGTGTTTTCTCCTTGCTAACACACAGTTGCATGGGCCGAATCTCTGCTCCTCGCCTCGCCTCTCTACTTGCCACATCCCAGATTCTCTCTCCTAGCCTC